CTTTGGAAAAATGTCCATTCAGCTCCTCTGCTCATTTTTTAGTCAGTTTGCTTGGTTTTGGGTTATTGAGTTGTACAAGTTCTTTATATATTTTGGGTACAAACCCCTCATCATTTGAATAATTTGCAAATATTTTCTTATATTCAGTAGATTGACTTTTCATTTGTTGATGATTTCCTTTGCTGTGCAGAAGCTTTTTAGTTTGATGTAGTCCTAATTATTTATTTTTGCTTTTGTTGCCTTTGTTTTGGGAGTCAGATCAAAAAAAAAAAAAACATAGCCAAGATCAGTGTCAAGGAGATTACTGCCTGTGTTTTCTTCTAGGAGTTTTTATGGTTACAGGTCTTACATTCAAGTCTTTAATCCATTTTGAGTTAATTTCTGTATGGGGTAGGATAGTAGTCTGGTTTTCTTCTTTTGTATGTGACTGTCCAGTTTTCCTAGCATCATTTATTGAACACACTGTCCTTTCCCACAAGAAGAAAAAAATTACAGGCCAGTATCCCTGATAAACATAGATATAAAAATTCTCAAATAATAGCAAATTGAATTCAACAATACATTAAAAGAATCATATACTATGATCAAGTAGGATTTATTCCAAGAAGGTAAGGATGATTCAGCAGCCACAAATCAATCACCAGGGTATACAACATTTAAAAAATGAAAGATAAAGATCATATGATCATCTCTGTAGATGCCGAAAAAGCATTTGACAAAATTCAACATCTGTTTATGATAAAAACTCTCCAGAAAGCAGGCATAGAGGGATCATACCTCAACGTAATAAGTCATCTATGACAAACCCACAGCTAACATCACACGCAATGCTGAAAAGCTGAAAGCTTTTCCTCTAAGATCAGGAACACAGCAAGGATGCCTATTTTGCTACTTTTATTCAACATAGTGTTCGAAGTCCTAGGCAGAGTAATTAGGCAAGAAATACAAATAAAAGGCATCCAAATTGGAATTGAAGAAGTAAAACTGTCACTATTTATGGATGACATGATTTTTATATATAGAAATTTCTAAAGACTCCACCAAAAAACTGTTAGAGCTAGTAAACAAATTCAGTTAAGTTGCAGGATACAGAATCAATATACTAAATCAATAAAACCCATTGCATTTGTATATACTAACAATGTACTGTCAGAAAGAGAAATTAAGAAAATAATCCCATTTACAATTGCATCAAAAAGAATAATATACTTAGTAGTAAATGTAAATAGGAAGGTGAAAGACCTGTATACTGAAAACTATAAGACATTGATGAAATTGCAGAAGACACAAATAAATGGAAAAGTATTTCCCACTCACAGGTTGAAAGAATTAGTATTGTTAAAATGTCCATACTCTCCACAATCATCTACAGATTCAGTGCAATCCCTATCAAAATTCCAACATTTTTCACAGAAATAAAAAATCCAAAAATTTGTATGAAATCCACAGAAGACCCCAAATAGCCAAAGCAGTATTGAGAAAGAAGGGCAAAGCTGTAGGCATCGTTGTGTCCTGATTTCAAAGTAAACTACAAAGCTGTCATAATCAAAATAGTATGGTATTGGCATAAAAACAGACACTTAGATCAATGAAACAGATTAGAGAACCCCAAAATAAGCTCATGCATATATGATCAATTAATTTACGATAAAGTAGGCAAGAATATACACTGCTTTTTCTTTTTCGACCTTCTGGAATTTTCAGTTAAGTTTTGAGAAAGAGTGCTTTTGTATTTAGAGTTTATTCAAAGCTCTTTATTTAAAAAAAGTAGAAGATACTTTCAAGAGCAGCAGTTCCTTACTTGGTTACCAAAATATTAGATTCTTAAAGAGCACAAATAGGAAGGAAACTATATTTCCACTACCAGGATTCATAAAGCTAATGCTCTTTCTTCCTTTTTCTCTCTCTCCTGTGTCTTTTCCCATCCTGGGTTCTGATATTCATAGTTTTAGGGCATCAAAATACCATAGGTATCCATAAGACATGTTATGTCAGTTCTGAGGTGCTATTGATTTATTGATTTAAGAAAGCTGTTAATGTGGTGTTGTGGTGAGAAGATGTCCAGAAAAGAAAAGTGTCCAGAAACCATACCTCATAACTGGTACTTTAAGCAAGTAGTGATATTGAACCTAGAGAAGAAAAAGGCATGATAGATGTCTTGATTCCTTGCAGAATTATCATCTAAAAAGTTTATTCGATGCAACACCTGGCCTACAACCAACACCAATATGTGAGCATGACAAGGAAGTTCATTCTGGGTAATACCAGAACTCTAACAGCAATGAATGGACACTACAAGCGGGAATATATATGCTCAGTAGGTTAAAAGCCATTGCAGTTGGTGATGCTTAGCAGTAGAATGAGTCTGAGTCTTCTCCTGAGGCCAGAATACACTGAGTTGAGTGAATGTCTTTGGAAAAGGCAACCATATACCTGAAGGTCTAAGAAGAGAGACAGTTCATGACTACATAGCCAGAATGGAAAGAAAATTTTTCTAGAAGTACTAAGGTTCTTTTTCTATCTGTGTGCCTCAGGGAGAAAATCAGTAGTAGTATCCCAGGAGTCATTTGATTTTAAATAGTGGCTCTTTAGTACTTTAATACAAATAATTAAGTAGACTTATGTTAAATGACTTGGGAACCCAGTATCAATTTATTCATTAATTCAGCAAATACATATTTATTGAGCACCTACTATACCCCAAGCACCATCCTAGGCTCTGGGGCCAGAATGGTGAGCAAAAAGAATAAGTGCTTACTATTAAATATTAAAGAGCTTATATTTCAGTGATTGTCTAAATTTTACAAATAAATGTGTAAAGAATTAATATGGATTCTAGCCAAAAAAAATTTTCCTTTTACATGTGTTGATACCTGTCAAATCTGCTTTAAATCACTTCCTGAATAAAGAATTTTATTTTTAAAATACATTTGAATAGAAAAGTCATAGCCATCAACTATAATTTGTATCATATTTATATACATTGTATGTATTTCAAAAATTAAATGGAAATATTTTCCTTTTCTGGAAATCTTTATACTTGTCTGGTAAAAGAGAAGATACAGCTCATGTTTCATGCATTAACATATTTGAGATTTTTCTTATTCAGGAACTTGAATCTATAGTTACCTTCTGTCCAAAATTCATTTCTTAGGTTACTAAACCATTATTTATGCTTTTTGGTGTCCAAGTGGGTTATGAATATCAAAGAATTCAGTAAAAGAAATAATTTTCAAAATTCAATATCATATTGAAAAAAAACCCTGATGACAAGGACCTACTGTATAGTGCAGGGAACTACAGTCAATATTTTATAATAACCTATAATGGAAAAGAATCTGAAAAAGAATATATATATGTATATGTATATTTATAATTGAATCACTTTGCTTTAAACCTGAAACTAACACAACATTGTAAATCAACTATACTTCAATTAAAAAATTTTAAATTCTGATGGTATAGTAATGTCATAAAGTCATTTTAAATATTAAAAAAGGGATGTTAGAGGTGGTGAGGTCTACAGACCTCTGCTGAAAAATGAAAACACTGAAGCAGAGTGACTTTCTAGGGCCCGAAACCTGTCTTCTGGCCTTTAGGTCAGAGGTCCCTCTCCACTCCATACAGATTCATTTTCTCTGCAACTTGAATAAGCTGTGGGCTTGGCTGAGGTTTGGTTAAAAGGCTGCAAACAGCTCGTGCCGCTGTGCCTGACACGAGTGTTCTTAGGGCCCTGCTCCTAACCCTTCTGATCTATGAAATACAGGAAGAGTTTTGTGACTGCAACCACTTGGCTCAAATTCCCAAGTATACTCCAGTTCCACTAAATCTTAGCAGGCAGATGACTTTCTAGTTTTCAATATTAGAATATATATTGCCTGAAGATCTTAGTTGATAAATAGTTAACTTTCTGTAAGATATTGATATCATTTACCCTATATATATATTTTGAGCACTCCTTAACACATTACAACTATTTAACTCTCACAACCTCTCAGGTGGATACTCTTATCATCCCCATTTTTACAGAAGAATCTAAAAGGAGGATATGTACCGTTCCAAGAGGTTATAGGACTAATGAGCATCAGGGGTGGAACCTGGCTCTTAACTACCTTCTGACTTAACATTGCCTTAATTTGACAGCGGGAGCCACAGATGCAGAGAATTTAGATGATTGGTGAGGGGTTATAAGAGTCCAGCGAGGGAAGAGGGGGAGTCACACTTTGTACCCAGTGCTGGTTATTTTACACTGTGGTTGCTCTTAGAATGACTCCTTCTGCCAGCCTAGGTGAGTTCTTAGTCTAACATTCCTCTGACAATTTTAAAAATCGTTTCTGTACTTAGAGAAGTAGGTAGGTTTAAAAGATAATAGAAATAGACATTTAAATTTTTCCTTTGATGAAGTTACTCTGTTTTTTTAAATAGCTGTTTGACTTCTATGGCAATGCTGAATGTTTTTACACTTGTTGGTAGCAGTGCTTTTATTCATAATGTGAAATCTTGGGGGCTCTCTGGTGTACACTTGGTATTTTCATCTGCCTATTACGCTTGTTACATTGTGTTATCCAAGTGAGATTTTTTTTTAAGTACCTAATATTAAATGGTGGTTCTTTCTTTATCTTTCAGGCAGATAGGCTGGTTATTTCTGACAATGCAGTGAAGCTCATTTTGCTGTCTTTTCTTTTTAACTTTATTTTGTCCAATCTAACAATAATTCCATTGGAGGAAAAAAAATTAAAATTGCCTCATTGACAATGTAATGATACCAGTTTTTCCTTCATAGAAATTAAACAAAGTAAAAATCTTAGTGACTTACCAGGGGTCAGTGATGCTTTTAGAAAAATGCCTAACAAGTTCTCAAGGCTTTGTTTTCAAAATAAATCTTTCTGTTCTGAAGTATTTGGTTGTGTGTTTTTTTGAAGTGCAATATGGATAAGAGAAGCCATTTAATGAAATTCAGAGTTGACTCATCTTTTTCTTCTCCCTTTTCTCTCCTCCAGCTCTTTCTCTTTGTTGTCTGGAACTTTGAGCTCTACATGATACCCCTGGTTTTGTTGTTGCTATTGACATGGAACTACTTCTTGATAATATCAGGGAAAGATAACAGGCAACGTGATACAGTAAGTCTCTACTTTCTTATTTGTATGTGTTTTTGTTCCGATTCCTAGTCTCTCTGACAAGATCAATATTGAATTTGGTTTTACAAACCAGAAATTCTGTCTACCTGGTTTAGAGAAAAGTTCTTTATCAGCTCAAAACTAACAACTCTTTGGTCCTAACACAATAGAAAATATTCACCTATTTCTAGCATTACTCATTTGGTAAGAGCAAAGTTGAGAGCACACCAATGAATGAGTTACGATTTTTCTAAGTGTAAATGGGTATTCCAAAGGTTCTTTCTTTTATTCTCCTCATTTGTCTTTATGTCTTAATGAATCTTTGTTAGATACAATATCATAAAATTATCTATAGTCAGATCAAACAAATGTATTTTATTTAATACATTTCTCTGTGATCTGTCAGTGGACGGAAGGAAGGCTTGATGGTCGTTGGCACATAAGTAACTTAATTCAGTGTTAATTCACTGAACAACTGGCAGATCTCCTACTCTGTGTCAGGGGCGTATTAGGATACAGGCTCAAGGATCAAAGGCTTTCACTTAACCTACGGAAAGATGTACTGAACTCACCTGCCCTTTCTGGCATTTTGAAAGTTTTTAGAATGTATGAGACAACCTTTTCTCTCTCAGAAAGAGTTGTAGGCTGGGAAGCAGAAGCTAGCCACATTATAATCACACTTGTTAGTCTCCTGTCAACCTTCATTCTCCTTAGATTATCTCAGTCACTGTACCCTTAGCAAATACACAACTTCGAAAACTTTCCCGTATATATAAATAAATGGGAGGGGAAAGTCTTCTCCAAATCAGACACTTACAGTGTAACTGTAGACAGCTTTTGAGAAGAACTTAAGCATTTGTCAAACATGAGAATCTGTTTGGTAGCTGTATGTCCACATCAGATCATGTTGTATTTTTTTTTTTGCCGTTAAGGATCTCCACTTGATCTATAATCAGGACTTTTGCCAACTATTATGCCCAAAATGATGCAGGAAACAGAGTTACTGGATCATAAGTTTAATAGCATTATATAATACTTTATTATAATAGCACCATAATGGTTACACAGACATGCATATAAATGACATAAAAGAATTTTCCTTTTAAATACTTCAAGAAAATATAATTCTTTAAAAGAATTTTCTTTATCATCAAAATAAAAGAGAAATCCAGCCATGAAGGTCATGGCAAAGTTGTCAACAACACACTGTTTATCTCCCTGTATTCTTTGGATATATTTCTGTCTCTCTCATGAGATTATAAATTGGAGGTAGGGAACTGTTCATCTTTGTACTTGCCACTGTCTCTAGCACATGGTTTGTAAATTAGAGGTGTTCAAACTTTTTTTTAAAAAGTGTTTCAAACCAAACATGAGATTGCTTTAGAGATGTTAATGGTTGGGCAGCATCAACAGACAAGAAGTTGTTATTGTTTTCGGCAAGAACTTTATGGATATCTATTTAACTTGCACCTGAGAGACAAGCCCCAAATGCCATAATCCTTGGTGTCATGGGGACTAATATGTACTTTTGTCAATTAATTCAGGATGTTTTCTTTAAGAAACTAGGACTCTCTTAGACAATTGTTTTTTTGTCCCATTTATTTCCGGGAGATTGTCGAGAGAGAGGAATATCTACTTTACATTCAGTTGCCTTGAGACAAATTTGCAAATAAGAATATCTGCAAATAGGAAAAAGCAGTGGTTTAGTTTCAGCTTCTTAATCCTATGAGGGGGCTTATCTTCAATATTCAGTCATTGGTTTGAGTATTCTTAGTAAATTATTCTGAAACTATAGACTTTGCTTGTTATCGTCTTCAGAATGTACCTGCCTTGGCTGGAAAGGTTCACTTTTAGAGGGGAAATAATTAATATATAATGTATTCCTTCATACTTAAAATTCTCTGGAATTTTTCAAGCCTCTTGAAAAGTTACATATTTTGTAAATTTTCCTACTGCCATTTTTTCCTCAGAAATATAACTCCAATATTATATTTACAAATCTCTCCTTGTAGGCACATCTCTGACATGCTTTCCCTTTTAGCCATGGACAACATTTCATTCCCCAGCACAGCCCACTGTGAAACATTCTGTAGTCTGACTTTCATGGAATGCCAACTGCACTCCATAACTCCCAGTAATTGCCTCTTATTTGCCCAAAACACACATATCCACATATCCAGTTCTTTCTAGGCACCAGAGCAGCCATCACAACGTTTCATTCAGCTTCTTATTCACTGGCTCAGTTGATACCTTACGTAACTCTTAAATCCACTTTGTCTAATTATGTGTTTTCCACCATACCCAGCTGTGCATTTGAACTGGTTGCTCCTTTTGAAAAGAAACCTGGATTATATTTTGCTGGTTATGGATTACACACACACACACACACACACACACACACACACACACACACACACACACACACACACACACACACACACACACACACACACACACACACACACACACACACACACACACACACACACACACACAAATTAAGGGAGTGTGTTCGTTAGGGGTTCCCATGCTGTGCCTAAGTGACTCTGCTGCCTAGTGCACAGCACTGGAAGAAAGGTACTTTGCCCTAAGTCCTTATTGGTAAACCCAAAACAATGCAGAATTTTTCAGCATTTGTGAAAACTTTAGGGAATCTCTGAAGTACAATAATTACACCGTTGGCTGATTCCAAACCAAGGAGAAGGGGGTGTGGGCAATATTCTGTCATGAAAATCAAAATCATCTGCACATTATTCAGCTGAGAAACTGCACTTAGGATGAAAACTATAAAAGAAAAACAAATCAAAATGAACTTCAGGTTTGTGTAGCAAAGAGAAAAGAAAATAATATTTCTGTGACCTTATAAGTTACAAGAGAAAAGCAAATACTGTAAAAGATACGAAGTACATAGATGGGTAAAACTTCTGTCTGTCAAAATATTGGTGGATAGTCAAGATTAATACTAAAAGAAGGAAAGGAATTCTTTGTTTATTATTTATTAAAGAGACCGTTTCCTTTTCTGGAGACTTAAGATCACAGGAGCCCCCTATGTTTTTCCCACCATAGTGCCTGTTCTAGTTTAATGAAAAAAATGAGATGTAATCCTTGCCAAGGAAGTTTTGCTGCATTTAATGAGCTGACCTTGTTGAGGACAGGCTAGGGAACAGCCATTCCTGAGTCTAATGCTATTGATGCATGTGAGAAAGAGGCATGGTTAGAAATGGTGTTTCGTCTCTGCTGTTTCCCAGTCGAGCTTGTTAAAAATAAGCAACTCTAGATCTAAATCTACCTATACTCAGACCGTGACAATTAAATTTCTAACATAAGAATTGTTAGGCTTTTCCAGAGAGGACTGTTTCATACTAACTTCATTCAGAAATGTCTCTGACAAAGATATAAGGATAGGAATGTCATACTTCTCTTGGTTTGATCTCTCATTCCAGACCTGAGGAAAATCCCCCCTGCACTGCCCGGTAGGCTTGTACCAACTATCCACATTGCATTCATTATAAACTGAAATTGTGTAAGTTGAAGAGTAGATGCCTGGAATTTTGAACTTAAAATGACTGAATCCTCAATATACCCTGGGACCTGTATTCAGCACTTTTCTTTTATTGTATTATTTAGTTTTCCTCCAGGAGAGAGAAGTTGGTCATGCCAGCCCAGCCCATGAGTTGGGTCCTCCTTAGTCAAGAGCCCCCCACCTCCCACCCCTCACCCTCACTCCTGTTCTCTCCTCTGTGGCTTAGAGGACACACTAATGTGGAAACAGCAGGGCGGCAAGAGCCCTTCACTGAGAGAGGGGAATCAAGTCTCAGAGAATGGGAGAAATGGGTTGGCCAAGCAAACCAGGAGTCTATTGCACTCTCTCTGAGACAGATATCAGTAGTAATACCTTACATACAGGAAAACAGGGAGAGAGGTTAAATAGCTCCAAAGGCACACAGTTAGAGAGTGGCAGAGCCGATACTAGGATCTGTCGGTCTGTCTGAAGTTGGCTCTCCTTACTGCCAGTCCATCACATGTCCTCTTGGGGCTATGTTTTGGTACATCCCAAGTCTCCCTGGGCACCTTTAGAGTAAGTTTCTCCTTTTAAGTTTCAGAAAAGTCAGTAATACTAACCCTACTTTTAAGGAGTCAGATTGATGGAAAACCTCATTTCCCCCGCTCCACCCCCATATCCTCCTCATTCAGGAAAATGGAGCAGATGTCTACTAAGCAACTTCTGTGTATCAGGTATCCTGCTAAGCCTTTTAAAGACACGATTTCCTTTAAGTGTTTATAATAACTTTATCAAGTAAATTATTCTAAATGTTTTATTCTCATTTTATAAATGAGGAAATTCAAAATCAAAGAGAATGAATAGTGAACTCCATAGAGTCAATGGGATGCAAACCCAGCCCTGACCTGCTCTGAAGCTTCGGGCTGTGTCCAGGGTACACGTTTGGGCATGCCTTTCCCAAGGGATCACTTTCTAAATGTCCAAAACCTTCCATGGAATCCTGGGTATCCCCACATTCCTTCTTATGAGGTACCTGGTGGCCTGTCAAGAATGGATGCTGGTCGCTTGTTTGATCCCAGGTGACCCCATTCATTTAAAAAAAATATTCATAACCCCAAAGACAACCTAACATCTTCCCAGGTGAGCATGGTGGGAGTAAATTAAACCTAAGAATCCTTCACACGAGTGAAGAAAGTCTTTGAATATCTTTGACATTCAAAAATTCTTCCAGCAGTGTTTTTTAATTACATTTTAAAAGAACATTCGTTTTTGCTGTCATGATAGGCCTCCCACATAACAATCTCGGTTGCCTAATCAATGGAGGCATTAAAAGACGGAAGAGTAGGCTAGATCAGTGAAGTCATCCTCTGAGTCATGATCTGACTGCGCCACACCCTGCCTACTAAAATACTTTAGGAAACACTGAAATGGCCTGTTAGCTCCCTCAAATGGCAAAGCCCTGCATGCTCTTTTTCCCCTTCTGTTGTTGTTGGGTCTGTTC